TCACCTTTACCTCTATCTTTGTGTCTGCCTCTTTTACATCTGTGAATCGCTCCTATGTTCCTCCACACCACTTGTTGTGACTTTATCTGGTCCTCCTCTCTGTGAAGCCCGAAGTCAACTAAAGGGCTAATTGATGTTCCTCCTCTCTGTGAAGCCCGAAGTCAACTAAAGGGCTAATGATAAATACCATAAAGCATGCCATTTAAAAAAAAACTTGTCAATAAATTTATTCAACTTCTACGTGAACATTTCATCCATAGTTTTGGTGTGTTTTCAACTAGAAAATATTGATCAAACATATTCACCTTGATGAACTATAGTTAGCTCAACATGTTTAAAACGGCTTTATAACCTTTATCTATCTTCACACATTGACTAAAAGTCAACAAATTAGTAATAATAAAAACATCTGGATAGTCAATGTAGCAATTGGATGTAAAAAGTCGAACCAGCTTCCCTCCCCCTCCACCCCCCACCCTCCATGGAGAGAAATTGGGCCTTTCAGTACACTCCTTTGGGGGTTTACATTTCAAACCTTGATGGTACAAATTTCACCTATGTACTCTTAAATTAATTTGGAATATGCAGACATAAGTTAAAGAGGATTAGATCAATAGATTGGTATACATATTAATCTTTTTCTACAGATAAAATCAATATTTAGATCAAATCGATATTGCCATAGCATTACATGTTGGGAACAAGAATGAAGTGTTATTATTTCTGAGCTTACTGTCCAAATGAAGCACTTTAGAGGAAATTTAATGACTTCTTTTGTTGAAACTAAATGAAGCGACTCTATATGCTCAAGCTTTGAGATAGAAAGAATGGATTCATTGTTTGACATATTGGAAGGTAGTTTAATCGAGAAAATGCATCAATTTTTTAAAAAAACAATGGAGACAAAAAAACTTACAATGACCATTGTATTGAGTACAATTCCAGCCGTTCTTAGCTGTCTCATTCGTAAATGTGAGATGCGAAATACGCGAAAGCATCGGGCGCAGCACTTGGCCATCTCCCTTATTTAATATTGCAGTTGGCGGTAAATTGATGAAGGGAAGTCACCGAATACAGTGTTTGTATTGCTCTATGCAGAAGACAAAATAGGTGAGTTTACTCTCTCTTCGCTCTCTCTACGCTCTCTCTCTCTCATTGTGCTGACCTCATTTGCATAAAAAGGACTTTTTGTCACGCTTACCCAATCAGCATCCAATCAGTTAGTATGAATAGATAGGTGTTTTGTTTAGTTCAATAGGAAGTCATATGATCGCTCTTCAATTAATTATCTTCTAGGGTAAGGTCTTCCTAATCGATAAGACTAGATGCAAATCCCAGATATGCACATCTTGGCTAAATTGCACCTTTGCCTATTCTGAAAGTTTACAATTTGGGGAACAAAAACAGACTGGGTTTTTAGACTTCCAAATTTCACAGCCGTTGTCAATCAATTGCTAAAACAGCACCAACCAATCTAGAGTATTTCATTCAATCTTTTGAGACCAGAAATTGAGAGTTCTGTTGAAGGCCTTGGCTTATCCAAACTTTCATAAGATGAGTTTATCGTGCATGTGAAGACGATGGAATGATGTCTTCTTGTTCTACCGCTTAGTGGGAAAAAGTTTTAGCACATCCAGCTTCGATACAATAGCAAAATTATTGAGCTTTCAAGTGGGGGGGGGGATTAATTTCTGCAATGTGACCTAGGATTCCAATTAAGGTCAGCTAAGTAGCAATAACACGGAATACCATGATGCTGCAAGATAACGCCCCCCATTTATGCCCATTTTAATAAAAATGTAAATTTAATGAATAATTAATAACCAATTATTCATTTTATTTTTCCTGGATAAAAGCTGTTCGCTTTCATCCAGCATAACCAAACGAGAGTTGTTTGTCTAGAGATTTGAGAGTTGGCCCCTACCTTCGTGGTCTTCTTAAGTGCCTAGAGTGACAGTCGGACTGGTGAATGATTTAGATCTATAGAGTTTCGCCGAATTACGTTACGGTTGAATAGTCAACGTTGCTTATCGGGTGCATGATTGTTGCGACGAGGCACTCCGATTTAAACACCAACGTAGAGCACCATCCGGTACCTAAACTTTCAAAAGTCAATAATCTCTATAATTTTCTCTTCCACGTGTACCACGAAAAGTCGCCTTTCCACATTTTCGACAAATTGTTATTCTAGATCATAGAGAGCAAACAATAGGATATTTAGACCGCTGAAAAGGTTTATATCAGATGGCAGGCGTTTTGATAGTTATCAATAGCCCTTTAGTTGACTTCAGTCTTCATAGAGGGAAGGAACATCAAATTGAAAAAAATTCGAGAGTGGGGGGAACAGAAGAGTTTTTCAAAGACGAAGGTAAAAAAGGTAGGAAAAAGGTGAGGTGAGTACTGTGGAAGTAGTGGAATATGACATACAGTGGGGTGATGGTAGTTTGAAGTCAGAAGTCAACTGCCGGTTTACAGACTTTTTTGCCGTATGAGTATCCGTTGACCAGGATGCACCGCTTGGGAGTAAGTCTATCGCACACCCCTACTGTAAAGGTTGTCGAATAGAGTAGAATAGAAACATGAAATTTTTCTGGGGAGCAGTAATTTCGTTATGTCATGAACGCCGAACACTTGGCGAAGGTGTAGCAAACAAAATGGGTATAAACTCAGGCCATTCCAGGCATAGATCCATCTAAATAAGATAGAAAAGCCCTTAGATTGACTCAGCAAGACTGAGATCTTTGTTAGACAAAGTCAAGTTCATTTGATAACGTATAAGGACATGATGATAAGGAAGGGCCAACATTTAATATAAGCACCTTTGACACTACTCCACCTGCTAGAGAAGCAGGTATAAAAAGGTCGATTTCTTCGGGCTTTCTGCAATTTTCATTTATCAGTACCAATCGAAAGGGACATAAAGCTACCTTTAGTTAGGTTCGAAAGTGGTTGCATTGACCATAAAATTTTATGGGAATTGATATTGGAGGCAGCAAAAGAACAACTTTAGATGTTCTATTTTATTTCTCTGATAGTTAAGCGGAGAGGAAGTAGGAACTAATAATGGCATGGAAACAAATCGTACCTTGAACGAGAGAAGATTCCATAGAATTCGCGCGACTCTTTACTTTTGGCCTTTTCTCTAAATACCGGGATTTTCCAAAAGTCCACCGATCCGAACAAGTGCCCACGAGAGCTTATTTGAGTGGAAAGTTATTTGGTTCCAAAATGGAAATGGTCTCAAGAAATTGAATTTTCTGTTTAACTGCCCTTCGCGTATTTCCGGAAAATCCCGGTACTAGATTAAACTTTACGTCATATTGGTCGCCTTAGCACGGGTGGCAGTTGAAAGCACACCAGGAGATGTCCTTGCTCCAATATTTGGAAAAATAACCCATATTTCAACGAATATTCTCCTGAGAACCTTTCATTAAAGATTTCAGCAAAACTATGGTTGCTGAGAAAACGAATACTTATGTTGCTTACAGCATTGGAAGATCGTTAGTGAAGGTAAATGATGTGTTCCGGTCACTGTTGTCACCTTCAAAAGCCAAAATTCAACAATAATACCAGTTTAACTTGATGGGAAATTTTTGTATAAGACTATGTAAATCAGCGGCCTTAAAATTTGACTTACTTTAACAACTATGCACTATTAATAATTAGCAATGAATTGTTGATTTTTTATAATAAAAATGTTCCTTATATCCAATTCCTGATTCATAAAAGTGATCATTTTTCGCTCAACCTTGTTTTGAGTTACCCATCAATTTAGATAATCTCAAATAGGATGAAGGAACTAAACGGTTTCACTTGAATAGACTGATTTCAACACGATTTGCCTGTTGAACTTGGTGTGGGCTTGAAACACATGAAATCAAAAGTTAAATGAATGTTTCAAATGCAGAAGACATGATAAATTATTCCCAAACTGCAAATCAAACTCATGTAACAGAAGCCCCTTATAATAGCCGAATATTTTGACAATATATCTAGTGGCGAAAAAAGGAAATTATTAAAATGCCTTCTAAATCTCAGCTAATTGTAAATTTTTTCAAACTTGATTTCCTTAATAGGTACTAATAGATTCAAACAAACTGTATGGTCTAATTAACTTTCCCGTCTTAACAATCATTATCATTATTATCAAAAGTGTAGCGAAAAAAATAAACCGCAAAAAATATGAAAAAAATACGACGGAAAGCATTAAATGAAGTATAGTAATAGATGTCTGTTCGATGATGAAAGTCAAATCATAATAAAATAATCAAGATCACTAAAATTTTATCTTCGTAGTCATTTATAGATAGGGTCAACTGTGTTGTTAAAATTGGGCGTGCGATAGACTTAACCTCACTTGGTGCAACCCGAGCAACGTATACTCATACGGCAAAGGGGTCTACAAACCTGTAGTTGACTTCTAACTTCAAACTACCATGAGCCCACAGTATGTCACATTCGACCACTTTCACAGTACTCGCCTCACCTTAACTGTTACATCCGTGAATCATTCTTCTGTTCCTTCTCTCGAATTTTCATGACTTTGATGCTCCTCCTCTCTGTGAAGCCCAAAGTCAGCTAAAGGGCTAATGATGCTCCTCCTCTCTGTGAAGCCCAAAGTCAGCTAAAGGGCTAATGATGACCATCATAAAGCATGCCATTTAATATAAATAAATGTTGTTGAAACGAGTATTTTTTTCATTTTCAAATAAAGTGGAAGTGAATTGAGAAGTTGGTATGGTAATTTACTTAACTTACTTTCTGCCTTATACAGAGTATCCTTTAATTTGCACAGACTTGTTCAGTGTAAAATGACAACAAGTTGACCGCAAACTGAATATCACAGTCATATTAACCATGTGGCTGTTGCCTTTGGCAACAGCCACACAACCTCAGCACCAATATCCCCCTCCTCCCAAATAGATGACAATTAGCATAGTTCTGCCTTTAGGAACCTCATTTACACAAGCTCATAAGGCTAAAACGGACTAGCTTTGGACATGGGTTCAGCTTTCTCAAAACGCAAACATAAGGGAAAATGGTTGGACAAGGAAACTTGGACAGGAGAATGTGAAGCAGCTAAGGCGGCGATTGCTGATATAAAAACTGCTGACGTAGGACATCAATGCGTTTTGCAGTGGATTCAGAAAATTACTACAGATGGTAAGTATACCCAATTATCGATCTTTTTGTTGGCACTTTCCGTTTAAAGGAATTTTAAACGTATTCAACTAATTTGCATGTTGTAGTGGCTTAATTACTTGTAAGTTTGCACGCTTAACAACAAGTTCCAAATTGTCAAAATTAAAAAAAATTGGCAACAGGTTTCCAATGGATAAGTTTAAAAGGACAAAGCCGATTATTTTCCTATTAGGAAGGCTTACAATCATTGGGGTATTTAGAGGGCATTTACTTGTTTGGAAGATCTTATCACTTGCAAAAGTTCTAATTAGCCTTTTAAAGGTAAATGATCACTAATTTCTCAAGTAGGAATCTTCTCTTCCGATTAATTGTAAACGCGTCGTATTCAAATAAAGAAGGCGCTTTATGCACTTAAATGGTTTTATCAGTCGTAAGGTGTTTATATAAATTCAGTGGTATATCAAACCTCTTGCACCTTGTGTATACAATTATTCAAGCGTATTTCCTGATTTCGGAATGAATTCCGAATAAAACCGTTCCATTCGCTTTTTAAAGAAGAAAATTATTTCTCATTCACTTCAAACCTTTGAGTACAATATCGATTTCCTGAATGTCTTAAATCTTATTCTATTTGTGATATCAGATTTAATGGTCTAGTAATCCTCCCATTGAATAAATGATCTTTCAAAGGCTATTATGGTTAAGTGTATTTATCGCATGTAAGACATGGGCGCAAAATTTCACTAGACCAAAGATGAAACACACACTACTCGAAAATGGTCATTGACTCTATTAGGCGATACTGTGTCAAAAAAAGTTAGTAGGCCATGAGATGACTGACCGAATGTTCTCATCATTTGCAATCTTTCCGTATCCCCATCTCTCATGCATCTTAGTCGTGCCAGATCCCTTTATATTAACTCGCATTATCCATAATGGCGTGCTTTAATACACAACTTGGCATTCAATAGGAAACCAAACACAGAGTCTAGATCATTTAAAGAGTTATTTCACTATTCGTTATTGTGACTTCTGTTTATTTTACTAGTTCTCGGGCAGAATTATTGATTTCAGACAGACGATGAATTCATTTCCCTAGATAGCTTTCGCATTTCAGTTTTTTGCAGACGTATATTGTGAGGCAATTTCAACATTGCACTGTCTACTTATGCTGTATTGAGAAAAAAGTATTTCACTCATTGGATGGTAGATAAACAAAACTGAGGTTGTTAGCTGCATTTCTACTGAAACTGTTTAAGTAAAATTTAATTTTTCTTTTAGAGAACACAAATTTGGATGATAGACCTAAACGTCCACATTCTGAAATATATGTACGGTCAACTTGTGGATCACTCGATCCAATGGTTGGGAAAATTGATCTCAGCTGTTGCGATTGGTTGCATCGAATTGGCCAATCACAAGTCGACCAATTGGAGAGTCCACGCTCCTTAAGCCGACCAGATGGCAATAAACAAGAAATTTCAACTCGATCCACGCCCGAAATTAGTAGCTTGAGTGATGAAAAACAGAATGAAGAAATTGAAAATGAAATAACAGAGATCGCTTCCTTGAAGTCTTTTCCTAAGAGTAGCCCTGCTCCAGAGGCAATTAAGAAACTTACAGATGATGAAAAAGAAAACAGAGAAGTTGACCTAATGGGGATAATAGGTGATCCTGACTCTGAAAGAGAAATGAGCCATCAAGCCACCTCCATAAAGAAATTGAAATCTCGCATTAACGAGCAATCAGAAAAAATGAAAATGAGGAAGCGACGTGCTGTTTAGGCTATGTTTTATATGCTGCTTAAATAAAAAAAATGCTTTAGTAAAACTAAAGGAATGTAATCTAGTTTTTTGCGAGTTAGCAAATTATTAATTAAAATTGCAAATGACTTTATTTTAATGGCCCTCACGGCTAACTGGCTAAACTTTTACCAAAGAGAAGGCGTGGGGGAGGGGTGGGGCTGTACTCTCATTCATTAACATTTCAAACGCAAAAGAATTCAAAAACACACTGCATATTCAACGATTCGGACCTGTGTGTCCACTTTGCCTCAGGAGAGTTTGTTACTGATGGGGAGTAGTGAAAGGGCTCTAGTGGAGAAGACATTGCTGCTTGAAAAAATCTAAGTAACCTCATGAAAAATGACTGAAGTTGTAGAGTCGTTGATGCAATCCTTTGCTTGAGAAGGTAATCACATAATGTCGCTGGTCTGCAGTCAAATAAGTCGTTCCATGGAGCCATAATAACAAGCCCAATTCTAGGAAAAATGTGATTCAAGTTAGAAAAATCAATCCACTGTCTACATCCATGGGGGGATGTCTAGATTAACTGCTCTGCTTTTCTTAAATGCTTCGATTTTCTTTGTCGGCATCCTAACACATGTATTGGGAAGATTATGAGGAGAATGTTCTTTATGATACAAAAGATACACCAGGAGCGTAGATAAATGAACTATTTGTTGAATCTATTGAGTTTAATAGGTATAAGTTGAGACAATGTGAAAAGGCATAAAACCTATAGGGCGAAAGTGTATAAAGAGCATGAGGATGGAAGGAATTCATTACCTTACGGCGTAGATCGCAAACTTCCCAAGTAGTTTGGGATTTTGACAGAGTGGACACTTTCTCGAAACCTTACCCTGCACTCATCAGTCATGCTTGTTCGCATGCTGGTGTGAATATTTCTACCTTTTCAGTTGCAGCGTGCCCAACTGCTTTCACAGGCTGGAATGACATTTTGGAAAAGAAATTAATTCAAACAAAGGAGTGAATGTTTCTCTTTTCTCTGGCAAAATAAATAGCTCAAGAATTGAGTTACAACGCACCAAAATTCATTTTGATAACTACGTGGAAAGAGATTCACCTCCCCTCCTCCCATAGGAGGGATCGAAGTATTGAAGAAAACAAAATGAAAATCTTTACTATAGCTTTAAATTAAATTAAAAGGAAATTTTTACCTACAGTGTTAAAGAAAATGCGAAATGCGAACACCATTATTTTAAGGTTAGTAAATGCAGAAGCGATGTACTTTAGTCAATTCTTTCTGTTTCAGTTTGAATTTAAAGATTGTTTAAAATAACAATATGGATTTGTGAGGGCATTTTCACTTAGTTTCTAGGGCAAGTTAAAAATTGCTTCAATCAACATTCTGCTGAGGGAGAGTGACTTCATTTCAGGGACCTTGGTATCAATCCCCTTAGAAGACTATTTCCATTGTTACGCATCACAACATTCAGTGTCGACTTTCATAATGATGCGTTCCATTAAAACTTATATTTATTTATTATTAAATTGAAGAAAAGAAAAACTTATAGGAAAGGGGCATAAAGACGTTTCAACCGTGGTTTCCTTGTTTTGACCTTTATTGTTACTACTCCCAACTGTGAGTATCTTGGTCCTCGCCTCCTGTCTGTTTGAATGATGAGAGCAGAGATCGAAGATAAAGAACATGAGTAATTCATTCTTTCGTGTAAAGGTGGGAAAGGCATACAAATTAATTGGAAAGTGGCATAGCCTTCAAGGAATGCTTGAAAATGCTCGGATCGATCGTTGAATATATACCTCCAAATCAATTGCCCATAGCAGCCAAAGTTTCCAGCAGATTAACTATGCTAAGATTCTTTTTATCGTTCAATCACTGTTTGCGACTCACGTGAAAAAAGCAATTAGTTGAACTTGATTTTATTTGATTTATTATTCATTTCACGAACCCTTGATTATTTGTTTGATTGCAGATATAAGCTTACGTATTGCCAAATATGTGTGTGTGCATCGAAAATTCTATTCTTCCCGAGGCAAATAATACATTTAACAAATTCTTTACATCTACCTGCTAATTCCCTTTCAGTTGAACTAATTTGCTGGTAAAAGTCAGTCTGTCAATCGAAAACTCATACAATCTTGATATGACAGTTTGAATCATTCTGTAATGTCATGCTGTCGGGTTGCATTTGTAAATAACGCAAGCTCTCAGGGAACCTAATCGTCGATTACGGTATCCTATGGAGATCGAAAAATTTATTTTATATCAAATGGCAGGCGTCTTGATGGTTATCATTAGCCCTTTAGTTGACTTCAGGCTTCACAGAGAGGAGGAGGAAAATCAAATTGTAAAAGTCGACAAGGGGGGGGGGAACAGAAGAGTGTTTCAAAGATGTAAAAGAGACAGACAGACACAAAGGTAGAAAAAAAGGTAAGGTGAGTAATGTGAAAATATTCGAATATGGCATCGAGTGAGGTGATGGTAGTTTGAAGTGAGAAGTCAATTGCCAGTCAGTAGACTTTTTTGCCGTATGAATATACGTTGCCCAGGGTGCTCCACGTGGAGGTAAGTCTATTGCGCACCCCGAGATCGAATCATAACACACTAGGAACTGGGAAAGTGGTTACAATGATCTTTCATCTTACTGTGCAGTTTATTTCCATTTAAA